AATTTGTAACAAGGTAAAGGTGCAGCCCTGTAATTACTTGTGAATGCCAATGCTGGCAGAAGGGCCTTCACTAGACGGAGCTCAAGATAACCCCTCTTAGACGTCAATTGGCCTACTCTTTCATTCTGGCCAGACATCTTGGAAGAAGTGGGCATGTTCCCACACTTTACCTCGCCACACTGTGACCCAGCCGATCGATGGCGGTGTACCTATTTTTCATGCTTGGTGGGCAGAGGCAGGGAAAATATTTAAGCAACTTGTCCCCATTGTTTCAACTGTCACGTCGGGAGGATTGAGTTCAACTGGAGATCTTACACATTGCAATGCTTGAGCGTGATCCATTATACACCAGGGCAGAATCCCAGCCTAATCGGAATATGGGGCGCAATGTCTGATAATCCCGCCTTTGTGTCTTTCACTTGAGGAACGTGTTACATTTTAGAACGTGTTATTGGAATAATGTTTAAATGTTTTAGAGTAGAAAACATATATGATGTTATGTTCCTTCTAAAATTCGGTACATAAATGTATTAATTCTAGATTTGAAGCTTTCGTGACTGCAAGGATTCATACTCTTAGTTCTTTCGGTAAAGTCACGTGACTTTACCGAAATAACTAAGAGTACATAAATGTATCTTAAACGTGTGGGTATTAAATGTTATTACATGTACAAGTGCAGCCACTGTTAGATGAGGGCCTCCCCACACCTTGTGGGACAAGGGGAGTATTTGACTCTACTTCACCATGCTGGTCAGTGCGGGTTGGTGATGGATAAAATATCACACGCAGAAGACATTCAGTCAGAACAAAAGGTTCCAACACATTAATAACAGCTTCTAAACTAATTTTATTCACAAAATTATATATCCATTATCCAGACTTGTGCCAATTAATTTAATTACAGTATTTCACAGAAGTTAATCAAAAACTAAAAAATGTATGCAAACATGTAACCATGGTTACTATAAATAAATTTAGAAAACAGGAGAATAGATGAAAATTTTTCCCCAGCAGCCTACTTTACAATTTATATTCTCTTTGACTGTATGTTTCATCTTGATTTGAAGCTTTCGTGACTGCAGGTTCTTTCGGTAAAGTCACGTAGGTAGAAATGTATTTCTACCGATTTAAAACATAAATAATCTGTAGAAAATACATAATTGGTCCAGGGAAAGGATGTTATCCATTTTGCCAAATATTTCATATTGTACAAGTGACAATGCAAATGGGGTTCATATATCGTAATATGAAAAGGGCATCATGTTAATATGTCTCACGTCTAATCTTTTATGTGCCCATTTGCAGAAAACCAATTAGCTGTGCAAGCAAACAATAACATCAACTAATAAACATCTAAATTGTCATTCTGTCCCTCGGTACATTACTATTGTTATTCTGAAGCCTGCTAACGCGTAAAGGTGGCAAAATGTTAATGCATCAATTTGCCAAGAAGGTTGACTGAAATTCAATATATTATACATAGCTGCTGGCTGAAACGATGCACTTCTGCTTCTCAGATTGTACATTATGCGTTGGCCACATTCCACAAATGTGGTTAAAGCGGGTAGGCTGAGAATACTCATCCCCTGGGCTACGTTGCCCTTTCAGCAGAGCTAATGGGGGCAGTTACAGCCGCACTTGGAGCTCAGTTGGCAAAATAAACTGCGCCAGCCGAGCCAAGGCCTGCTGGGCCACGGGAGCACACCGACTGAATGACTGATTGGCTGATTGATTGATTGTGTTCTACATGATATGCATATTGATTGATTGTCTTCTACATGATATGCAAGCATTTACTATATCTTTGCTCACATGTGCTTTCTATTAAGAAGCTTTTTTTTAAGTGAGTTGAATTAATTATCATCTGGTTGTCAATTACCATACGTAATAATAGTAGTACATTTAGAAATTCAAATGTTATGAATCCTATTACAATGAACTTTTGAAAAAAAAAACTTTTTCACTTTTGATGTGGAGTGCTGTACATTCCTTGAAAGCATTTTTTTTGCGAGAACTGAAGGGATAATTTCCACGTCAAGCGTAATGCAAAAGTGTAAGTGCGAGTATTACTTTTGAACTGAGTTTAAAAGTCAGATGTTCTCATAGACTGCAGAGGCCTGGTAGAGCCTTGGTCTCAAGTCTGGGTTCTAGCCTACGCGACTGAGCAGATGTGTTATGCACAAAGGAAGAAATGCAATCTGCACCTGCTTAATTCTGAATACATTTCCTGTTAATTATTGTCATCTTCGCCTGTCTGGTGGCAGTTTAAAAGTGGCCCAGTAAATACACTGAACTGGAAGTGACAGACAAGATAGCGAGTATTTATCTCACCCACTCTAAGCTGCCATTGTGTTTGCCCACGGAAGATTTGCACCAACTCACCTCATCCAAAAGTCACACACAAATATCACGGCCGGGACTTTTCCCTTAAGGACACTTAAGCAAACAGCAGGGGACATCCTTCATCAGCAATCAGCAATTTTGACCTTGAGGTGACACATTCACTTGCTCTCTCTCTCTCTGACATGCCGAATGGAGGCTTTAATAATCTCGCCAGCAAATCGTTTTTTTACGTGTCCCAAAGAGTGTAATGATTTTTTTTCTCTCTCTCATAATTATACAGCGAGACACTAAAAAAAAGGTCATACTAACGTAACGGTTTGATTACTTTGAAGTCCCATTACTTGTAATTATAGTTTAATCGCATAAATTCACGGGTGTTGGGAGCTACTCGACTGAAAAAATAGAGAGATACGGGCCGATACGCGCACTCTTAACGCTTTGCCATAGTCTCAAAACGTGTTGACCTCCTTTTGTATACGTCGTGTATAAATTGAATATTACAAAGGAACAGTTCTAATGCTGATTTCAGCTTTGTGTTTGGATAATCTCTCTTTGGATTTGCTTCAATGCTTTTTTACACAAAAAAATCCTTGAACAGAGACGGCCCATCTGATAGTTGAAGATTAATTACCACCAGAACAATCAGGGCCCCAACCCTCTCCCCTTCCTACTACACCCAGCCCTCCCTGTCAGTGTAGCTGCACGCACAGCATATTGCGCCCACGAACGTCTTCAGATGGGCGACTCATCACGCCGTCTGTCGAAGCGGAGTCAGCCTTTTAAGTCGTGGTCAAACATCGTATGCAGGTGAGTGGAACACCCATTGTGTTGAAAAGGGCACTGCTCAGTGGAATTATTGGGGGCAAAAATAGGCTGAGCCTCGATATTAAGAAGGAAAGTTGATGCATACTCTTTGGTTCTTTCGGTAAAGTCACGTAGGTATAAAAGAAAAGAAAAATAAATCATGACGTTTCGGGTGTTGCGCCCAAAACGTCGTGATTTATTTTATCTTTCTACCTACGTGACTTTATCGAAAGAACCAAAGAGTATGGATTCCTGCAGTCACGAAAGCTTCAAATCAAAGTTGGTGCAATGAAAGCCGCCGACGTAGAATGTTCCATTATGTGGCTAAAAATAAAAACGCAAATATTTTATCCCATCAGCCTATTTGATTTCACTGTACACATTATGAAGCCGCTTTTAGTTTCAGTGTGCAAACTCTTGGCCAGTTTTGATCTTCTGGGTCTGATTAGGATGTAATTTCAAACATACACACACATATATACTACGTAATTATATACAACACAACTCCAATAATCCGCGTTGATATGGGGGGACCATATCAACGGGGATTTTCTAATCTGTGGCACACCGTGGAGGTTAGAGTTCTGTAATCCACAAAGAATATTGCGCGCAGACGGCTTGCACTGCGGATTACGGGAAGAATCAGCCACTCCCAGGGGAGATACAGAAATCTGCGATGTTTGTGGATTCCATAATTAATGGCCCCACGGATTAGCGGAAGGAGTCGCGAACCGCGAGTAATTCCAAAATCGACGAGGCCCCTAGTTCACGGAATATTGGAGCGTGGAGTTTTGACGTTCTGCTGCAAATGGAATGTATGTCTCATTTGCCAATCCACTGCTTGATGAAGGTATCTCCACGCCGTGTTTGTCAGTGTCTGGGCTCGTTTAACCACCATGCTGCGCCATGCTGGTTTAGTCTCGGTTGGTGGGGCTGTTTCGGATCCCATGAATCACTAATATTGACCATGGCCAGGAATCAAACTCACGGCACCGATTTAAACAGGAAGTAGCACCAAGACCATCACACCACAGCTCCACTCACATGCACACACGTTCACGTGAATTCAGTTCTGTGTATTTTGTTTCACTTCAGTAACACATTTGTGACAGGATACATCAACCTTACTTCGGCGACAACACAAGCGCTTTAGTTTAATGATTTAAGACCATTTCAACATTAATATAGCACTCTGTATATTTTGGCAAACAGTACTGCAAGCGTGTAAGCGTTAATTTTTTTTGTTGGTAATTATATATATTTGAAATTATACGTTATACCTCTATAACGTGGCATTTCACAGTCGCCATACATTAACTCAAAAAAAGGAATCGCCAAATGTCCTTCCTAATGAGTGTTGGCACGCTCTTTCTGGAGAGAGGGTGGGGGGGGGGGCAAGACTCCATAAATGCCCTTATTTGTCAGTGGGGGACAAGCCAGTGTCACATCGGAACGGCTCGGCTTTTAGGCAGTGGAATTCCGCCTTGCTTGCCTTTGGGAAGAAGGTTTGTGCTGGGGGGTGGTGGTGGTGGGGGTTAGGTGGCGGCTTGTGCTGGGGGGGGTGGTGGTGGGGGTGGTGGGGGCGGCTTGTGCTGGGGTGGTGGGGGTGGTGGGGGAGGTGGGGGTTAGGAGGCGTCACCGCTGCCCGCTCTTGCAGCTCTCCGCAGACAATAGCCTCTGGACCTCCCAATTGGCCCCGGACCTATCGGCCGGTCCAGACCGTGCCCCCCCCTACACCCAGCCCCGCGTGCTCCCATTGGCCGATGGGCGGCGCTGAGGACGCCGAGGGGGTGGGGGGGGGGGCGCGCGCGCCGCACGGGGAGCCGTGCGAGCGGCCGCGCTGGTCCCAGTGGTTGGCAGGAGAGAGCGTGAGACGCGACGTCCTCGGAGCAGGGGAGACAAGCGCGTGTTGCTCTCCGCTGGCTTGAGTAGTCGCGGGGAGTTTCTTGACGGCCGAGACTCCCCTTGGCGCACCCCGTCCGCTGAGTCTCCGTCAGCAGCCCTACAGTACCCCCCCCCCCCTAAAGCCAGCCCCCCTTCCCACCGGCGTGTCGGGGAGATCGGCGCTCACTTCGGAGGTGCAAGGGAGCTTCACGGCGCGCTCGCGTTAGAAGTAAGTTGATGATGTTGTTGCGAGTGTGTTCTTGCCGTCGTTGTATATTGCTGTGAGCGGGCACTTTTGATGAGTTGACCCTCTTTTTTGCGGCTCTTTTCGATTTCTCTGCCTGTGAAGAAGGGTCATTGCCCGAAACGTCGTACGTTATGCGTGCGTTCACTCCTCTCGCTAGGGCAGTGCTCCTGCCGAGTCCCGTGTTAGCGCGTCTGCGCCGTGTTGTGCTGAACACGCATTCATCCAGACGACCAGGCTGTGAACAGTTCCTGTTGATAAACTAACGAGAGCAACAACAACAATTGGTGTCCGTTTTAAAACCTCCTACTGTTGTATTGCTGTTGTTGGTGGTGTTCAATTTTATTTCGTACATTTGCATTGAAGCGCGCAGCGTACAACAAAACCCAACCTCCAATGGACGCGTTTATTGGGGCAGCTGCTAAAGGTGTGGAGAAGCTTTCAAACTTGTTTTGACGTCGGCGAAGTCGTCGAGCAGTCGGCAACCTGGTGGGGTTGAATGACAATTATTTGATTAGGAAAGTCGACGCAATCACTGCGTAATTGTTGAGGAACGCACAGCGCTGGGTGTCGTGCTCTGCCTTGAACAAAATGATAGTGATAGGCTGAGTGTGTTTCTAAAGTATGCTTTAGGTCAACATTTGTACGACCAACAGGGATAATTAGTAATCTTAAGCTGTCAAGTTCAATTAACGGTTGCTAAATAGAGAGAATTTCAGGGAAATTCTAGCTGGGCTGACGAATGCAATCATTCTGTGAATTTTATTTTGCTGTCGATTCGTTGCGCAGACCCCGAAGGTGGCTCGCTTTGCGAGTTTGTGGAATCCATCGAGTTTCGAGCGATTTTATGAAAACAAACATCGTGATGCTGCTCATGCGAATTATGCACAAGCACAAAAACAAACGTAAACTCTGCTGTGAAATGATTAAGGGCCATAGCGGGAAACTTTGCCGATGATCTACATTGCATGTGTTTATTTATCGGCTAATGTTAATAAGGCACGTGTTGAGTTTTTGTAACTTTTCTGAAGTTTGACCTTCATGCTGTTTCACAGTATTTTCATGGGTTCTGGTAATATAAAGACAGCAATGAAGAAGACCACATAATAAAAAAAAAACATTCTGATAAAAGTGAACGTATTTACTTTAATGTAAAGCTAAAAAGGGTACTAGTAAACTAAATGAAGATGGAAATTAATAGTAAAATAAATTACAAACGCATGTGTTTGTGGTTATAAAATGTGCTTAAATTAGATAATTCCGCTTAAAGGGTGCTGCTGCTGCTGCAATAAAGATGCCGCATTGGTGAAACAAGAACGCACGGTATACGGGGAAAGCATCCATCCTGTTCTTTCAATTCAACTGCATTGTTCATTATTTAAAATGTGTCAAAATGTCAAGTGAATTGCGACGATACATTTTAAATAATAAATCGAGGCAACTCAGCGGTCAACCGCCAACATTGTCGGGTGCGAGGGATGCGACACGAGGATGGACTGGGATTTTCAATGGATCCGTCGCAAGCATTCCGTTGTAACGTCTGGTCAAAGCTGTCGCCGCGTTAAGGACACACAGAGAGTGGAGCAGCGCTCGGCTAAATATATCTGAGCCGGACAAATTGTTTCCATATCCATAGAGCCGAGTCGCATCTTCGTTTTTCCATGCCTGTACTTTAGAGCAAACAGCCATTGCTAAATGCTTCATTATGTACAGATTATTTATTATTTCACATTAATCAAAAATGAACCCCTCTCATGTATACGTAATATTTTTTGGGGGAAATAACAGAATCGTAGGAAATAAACTATCAGTAATTAACATCAAATCACATGCTAATTACATTTGTTAACACTGAAAAAAGTGACCTATTTCCACCCAGCGTGAGAATTGCTAATGATTGCACAATTACAAACACTGTTCGTTTAACAAATGCTCATTATGTGATTGTGTTATTTCCTGCCAAGCGTCGTGTGTATTTCTCTATATTACTGCGTACTAAGCTGGGGATACATCGAGCATAAACATCACCTGGTTTATTAGCTTGCAGTATGGTCGTATAGACGTGTGTATATTTTTGGAACACGTTTAATTTTTTTCTTTCTCATTACGATCAGTGTGTCAGGTCTTAGTTTAAAGTCAACAGTTTACAATCCCGAGTCCCATCACTTCCCAAGCATCCGTAGGAGTTCACCGCACAAGAAGAAGCGTCCACCTCCCCCTCCCCACAGGGGATAAGGAAAGCAAATATGGGCAAGAGATTAAAGAAGGCAGATAACTCAGGGTCTCGTGGAAGGCGGAAAATGTAGATCCCAGTTGTAACAACTTTCTCACACCTTCCTGTTGTCCATCCTCTTCTCCTAAACTGACCCCCTACCGTCTCTCGCTACTCTCATTTGACCACCCAACCCACCCCCTCCAGCCTCCCTCCGCATTTAGCCGAAGGGGCCAGAACTAAATCCAAGGCTGGAACAACACCGAGAGATGAGACGCCGCAACTCAGCTGTGTCAACACCACGCCACGCTCGAAAAAAAAAACACCTTGGGCCTGCCCCAGGTTCCGGCTGACGAGCAGAACCACCTCTGATCCTGTCCGAGCCGGCCGGCCCGGCCCGGCACAGGAGCCCGGCCTCCGACCCCCAGTCCCACCCGTACACCCGCCACTATCGTGGCACGACCCCCACCGCCCATGCCCCCCCTCCCCCCTACCCACCGGGGGTCCTGTTGATGAGCTAGACGCATTGCTGCTGTCAGAAAGCAAAAAGACAGCGGAGTAAAGAAAACACATCGGAAGCTGGCAGCACGCTGTGCGCAACGCCTCTGCCCCCTGAAGTTTTGGAAGGGGGAAAAAAAGAAGGGGGAACTGAGGTATGCAAGAAGGACCCTCCTGAGAAATCAACTGGTGCATCTTTCCCACCGGGCATCTCAAAATAGTGACCTCTGTTTTACCCACTAATTTATTTATTTCGTTTATTGGGTGAAGTTTAGTTTAGTTTTCGCAGCAATTAACTTGATCTGGTCATAGTCCTTGTCGGATTGTTTCTTCTTTTTTTCTTCATATATCTCTCTAATTGTGGCTGAATGCCCCATGCTGTGAACGAGTTTCGCTTTCTGCAAGTGGCAACGTGTCCTTTAAACTGCGCTGTGGTCTTGTGTGAGCAAAATCCCCCCCCCCCCAACTCCCGCTGTGCGAGATAGAAGGAACTGATCTTTTCCAATTAAGAGATTTAAAAGTGTCCCTTTCAATTTGCTGGGCTAATTTATCTTCCCGCCTGCAGAGAGGAAACCACAACAAAAAATATTCAAATGTTATTTTCTTCTTAAACACCATGAACAAAAATCACCGTGTTGCAAACTATTGACTGATTTTTTTAAACGACTCCATTGGCTGTAATGATTGGAAATGTTATTTATTCAAACGTTCAACGCTGCATGTGTAGAGTATTAATGCAGTTTCTGACGAACTCATTTTATTTTACGATTGACAAAAACGGTCAATTGTTAAAAAAACTGAAAGCGTAGCGACGTGTCAAACTTTCCACGCAAAGTTCCAATCCAATCATTTAAAATATAGTTTTAGTTTTCTTTGTAAATAATAATAATCACTAACATCCTTGTGTCGAGACGTCACTTCATAACAACAACAGCAACGGAAAACACTTTCACATTTTCGGAGGGTGACAGGATTTTCCAGTTTGATTAAAATTATTCCAGAGTCTGGAAGCGAAACAAAAAATTGACCCGTAAATCCAATCCTAGCTAGTTTTTTTTTCTAGTTTTTTTCACTCAGCCGCTTTCTCAGTCAGTTGGCAAACAGCGGTCCTCTGTCTGCACCGTCCTCATTCTGATCCCGTGAAGGGCTTATTGTACACCAGGCAGAAACGGCCCCGGCGAGAGATAAATCCACGACAACGAGGAGGAACTTGCCGAGTAAGAATCGTGGCCTTTTATGCGCGGTGCTGCCACCACGGCTGTAGGTAGCAAAGACGGCGGCACAAAAGAAAGGGGAGACCGCCACGGTGGCCGAAGCTGTCTGAAGGGGGTTTTCAGGGAGTAGAAAACAAGACCACGTAAAGCTCTCTTCAGCATCCCGAGCATTTCTGTCAAAACATCGGGCTTTCAAGCGGTGGGAAACTGCCTGGATAAAAAAAAAAAAACTAAAATCAAAAGGTTAAAGTCTCCATTCCTCTATTGCCGTAAACCTTTGAAACTGATTTTTGCATCGCACGCACGGACTTGAAACATTACATCGGCTCAAGCGATAATGTTTGTTGTATCACTTACGTGTACGTTTTAAGCGTCCGTTGAGCAATATCTGCTAAGAGAAAACTGTTCAAAGCTCAGCTACCAATAAGATGTTTTCTCCAACTATAAGTTAAATACAAATTGTTGCTACTCTACTTACTCTATCTGATACAAAAAAGGACCAATAGCTCAAATTGAAATAATAGTCGTGATGATTAACAACCCTTTTGTCAATCCACTTACGGACAAAAGCATCCCCGTGCTATGATTGGCCAGTGTAAGTTGGTGAAGAGAGGAGAGTGCCAACACTGGTTCAGATATCATTGTCCATCGCTAGGAATCAAAGTCAAATTGTCGGGTTAATAGCACAGCGTATTAAGAACGTCGCGTGGTGGATTGCAATGTCTGCCACTGATGGCAGAAGGGCCTCCGCTAGCAGGAGCTGTAGAAAGCCTCTTTAGAGAATATTATCGGCCAACTCTTCCATGCTGGAAAGATGTCGGAGTACCGATACTTTAGACCATCACACGCAGCCTGCCGATCGACTCACGGTGGTGTACCCATTTATTCTGCTGGGTGGACCGGGGCTGATGGAATACAACTTGCCAAGTGACGCGCCTGGAGGATGAATCGAACCGGCGACCTCGAGGTTGCAAGTCCGGCGTTATAGCCATTATTACATTTTGGCAGGGACCCTGGAATATTCATATTATCTGTGTAAACATTATACATTATTGATTTGAAGCTTTCGTGACTGTAGGTATAAAATAAAATGAATCATTTTATTTTGAATGAATCATTTTATTTTGAAATGAATTTTGAAATGAATCATTTTATTTTATTAAATAAAATGAATCATTTTATATCATAAAATAAAATGAATCATTTTTTATTTTTTATACCTACGTGACTTTACCGAAAGAACCAAAGAGTATTATACATTATCTGTTTAAAGCCATTGCTAAAGGCAGTGCTGGTTCGTTGGGTTTTATTTGAATTCACACGTGACAACATTCGTTTGACTTCTTCACTTGTGCGTGTATGTTTTGATTTTATTTGCTAACTCACTCCTTGGATGTGTTTCACCACCAACACGTATGTTCCCATCAGTTATTGCCATTACTGTTGCGTTGTTTACAAGGTATTACTAAAACCTACAGTAACGTAAATGCTACGATGCAATGTGTGAGCGCTTACTCTTGTCAACAATGCAGACTGTCATCCGAAATAATAACTTTGTAATTAAGGCTTGTTTACAATTTTGACAAATGTACATTTAAATGTTAGCCGCTAAGCTAACTGAAAACAGATGTTTGATATGACAGACTAACGCTGCCTAGTAGTCTAATCATTGGTCAGCTTTGTTCTGGTGGAAAAAAAAACAGCCTTGCAGTTTTACAGCAGTGTCATTTACTGCTACTTGGACATTCTAAGATTAAATACGAGCAACTAATATTGATATACGTGGGCCGTTTTGATTTGCTTCGAGCGCTTTGAAATGGCTTCATGTGGTGGAATACAATACAGAGCGGATTCGAAATTTTTTGCCATGCGGAGAAATTTCAACATCACGATTGAACTCTCGAAACAAAGGCTGGTATTTGTATTTGCAATCCGCCAAAAGGTTAGCGTACGTGTAGACGTTCATATGGCACATTGTAAGAGCACCTTTTTTAAGTTTTACTAATTCATACGTCACGTGAAATTCATTATTGTAGACATTGCAGCATTACAAACAAACTGCTGCGTGAGTGTATTGGCTGATTGCTGCACGGCAAAGAACAGAATTATTTTGGGATGATGTTTTTGTTATACCGTGTCACAATTTTGGGGTATTTGCGTAGTGGATAGCGCACTGCGCTATCCACTACGCAATCTGATTAGATTCTTGGCCACTGCTAACATTAGTAATGCATGTCTGAGATAGTCCCCACCCCCCCGCTCAATGAACCACACTGACCAGCATGGTGAAGTATGGTCAAACAACCCCCATGACCGACACTGCAAAGGGCTGTAATATTATTATTTTAATTCCTATGATGAAAATATGACTGCTTACATTTAAGCGAAAGTTGACGTTGGCACATTTTGGAGCACAGTCTGATAACGTTACCAGCACTGACGAAGTCACACGTAGTCTTAACATTTGCCTCCATCGGCTTTCAGCTGGTGCCCTTTATTTTATTAAAGGTACATAACATGTAAAAAAATTTACAGAAAAGATGAAACATTAAACATTTACTTGCGATACACTGCATTAAAGCCAGTATATATATATATATATAAAAGAAAATACCAGCGGGTTAAGAGATTAAAATCACTCGACATTTTAACTCGCACCGTACAGAAACCAATTTCTGCTTTACAAGGGCGCCACCGCGCCCCCTTGACAGATTGGCATTTTCTCCTTCTTACAGCCGCCGACGCTGCCGAGGTGGATTTTTGTAAACACAAAAAAAAGCGCGCCATGGCGACTTCCACGCGCGGAGGAGCGGCCTCCCCGCCCGTCGTCCGCTTGGCGGCAGCGGTGGCGATGGCGGCGGCGCTGGCGCTGGCGACGCCGCCCGCCCCGGCCTCCGACTGCCCCGCCCCGTGCCGCTGCGACGGCACCTTCGTGTACTGCAACGACCGGGCGCTGACGTCGGTGCCGGGCGGCATCCCGCGGGAGGCCACCACCCTATTCCTGCAGAACAACCTCATCAACGACGCGGGCATCCCGTCCGAGCTGACGCACCTGCGCGACGTGGACACGGTCTACCTGTACGGCAACCGGCTGGAGGAGTTCCCTACCAACCTGCCGCCGGGCGTCCGCGAGCTGCACCTGCAGGAGAACCGCGTGCGCGTGGTGCCGCGCGCGGCGCTCGCCCGCCTCACCGCCCTCGAGAGGCTGCACCTGGACGACAACGTCGTCACCTCGGTGGGCGTGGAGCGCGGGGCCTTCGCGGGCGCCGCGGCCCTCAAGGTCCTCTTCCTGTCCCGAAACCTCCTGAGCGCCGTGCCCGTCGGCCTGCCCCGCGGCCTCGAGGAGCTGCGGCTCGACGACAACCGCATCGGCGCCATCTCGGAGCAGGCGCTGGGCGGGCTCGGGAGCCTCAAGAGGCTCTTCCTGGAGGGGAACCAGCTGAGCGAGAAGAGCATCGCCGAGCGGGCCTTCCGAGACCTCGACGGCCTCGCCGAGCTGTCCCTCGCCCGCAACGCATTCGCCGCCGTGCCGGCCGACCTGCCGGGGGCGCGGCTGGAGCGGCTCTACCTGCAGGACAACCGCATCTCCAGGATCCCCGCCGGTGCGCTCGCGGGCCTGCGGCAGCTCGCCCGCCTCGACCTGTCCGGCAACAGCCTGGGCGTCCTGCCGCAGGGCGTCTTCGACGACCTGAGCCAGCTGGCGCAGCTGTCGGTGCGCAACAACCCCTGGCGCTGCACCTGCGCGCTGCTCTGGCTGCAGGACTGGATGAAGCGGCGCTCGTCCGTCACCATGGTGCGGGGCATGGTGTGCCAGGCGCCCGAGACGGCTCGCGGAACGCCCCTGGAGGGGCTGGCGCTCGACTGCCGCGCCTCCGGGGACGGCGCGGGGCGCGCGAGAGCGGCGGCGACGTCGACGCAGGCGCGGCCCGCCGATCGCGACGCGCGGACCACGGCGAGGCCGGGCCCGCGGACCCAACCCCCCCGCGCCGGCGCCCCCAAGCACGGCGTTCCCGCGGCGGCCTCCGAGAGCGACCTGGAGGTGCGGTTGTCGGACGTCACCGACAGCAGCCTGCGCGTGAGCTGGAGGGCGCCGCCCGGCGTCAAGGTCCTCAAGCTCCACTGGGCCCGGCTCGGGCAGAGCGCGGCGGCCGGAGGCGGCGGCGCGGGAGACGCCGACAAGGTGATCGTGGCCGGCGACGGGGGCGGCGGCGGCGGCCACCGGATCCTGCGCCTGCAGCCCGGCGGCACCTACAGGGTGTGCGCCGTCGTCGCGGACCCGGGCGACGACCGCCGCCTCGCCGACCTGCACGCGTGCGCCGAGGCGAGGACGCCGAGCCCGTCCGACTTCAACTCGTCGGCGCCGACGAACCGCGAGCGGGGGGACGGGCGGGCGAGCGGAGCGGGCGGCGTGGGAGGCGGCGCCGGGGCGATCGGCGGCGCCGTCGCCGCGGTCGCCGCGGCCGCGTGCCTCGCCGCGGCCGCCGCCTACGCGCTCAGGGGGCGCTGCTGGCGCCGCCTGGCCGGCGGCACGGGCGGCAGCGGAGGCGTGGGGCGGCGGCGGCGCGAGGCCTGCGACTACGTGGACGGCTCCGCCAAGAAGAAGGACATGTCCATGCTGGAGAGCGGAGACGGCTCGTCTTTCCAGGTGGTGCCGCTGAACGGCGCACACCCCGCGCGGGACGAGTTCACGATACAGACGGTGTTCCCGCAGCGCCACGGCGCCGGGATCGGTGGGGGGGGTGGAGGTGGTGGCGGCGGCGGCGGATGTGGCAGCGGCCTGGTTTACAAATATCACCAGAACGCCGGCGGTGAGGTGCACAGGGGCCGGCGAGATAGCGGGGTGCCCGACTCGGACCACTCGCAGACGTAGGCCGCTTGCCGCTAGCCGGCTGCCGTGACGGAACCGCAGGTTGATGGACGGTGGCAGCTGCGGAGTGGCATCGGCTGGATGTCAATCAAGGGACCCTTTAAAATGTGCCAGAAGAAAATCCCATAACGTAAATGTTTCTTCTGCAATGAGCTCATTGTTTTTTTTTCTGGAGTGTGATGTGCACTTTGGACACTCGCTCGTCACAAGTACGGTGAACAATGGCCTTGCAGCGATTGTATTGTATGCGGACAATTCCATTAGCATTTCCTCCTACTCCGGCTGGTATGTCATGGTGGCGTACGTAATGTAATACCGGGTTACACGACATTACACTGGCATGTGTAATACATTCTGCTCACAGACAGTTGTTCAGACGCATTCGGACAAGTCGCTTACGAACACCTTCGTATATTTTTTAATAACTGCAGTGATGTGGTTTTTAAAAAGCAATATGATGTTGATGAGTGAAATGTACAAAAAGCAAGGTTTTCATTCGCAGAACGCTTGCGTCAGAAGTCGAAGGGACATGCCTCAGACACGACGACGTTTTACCGCCCAGGATGTTCCTTGAGCACCACGAGCGGCTGCTGAAGACGGCGTGAATCTACGCAGCCACCGCCGGCGAACGACGCCCAGTCAAACGGAAGCGTGAAACGCGGCAAGGGGCCTGCTTGGGAAAGATTATTTAAATAATATTTTTTACGAACGCACATATAGACGCCGTCAGAGTCATTTTAACACGCCTTCCGCCCGTAGTTGTGTTCCCTGTGAATAGTACTGTAATGCGTTCATCACGCTTGGTGGCTCTCTGCTGCCGCGCAGCTTGAAAGAGCGGCGACGCGGCTGCTCCGGCCCTCGTCTCGAGGTCACGCTGCGTATTCGTCACACAATGGCGCCATATGGGGCCAGACAGGACGGAGTGTGCAAGTGCCGTTTGGAATGGGGCACTGCGGTCTCGACTGTATTGCTCTGCGGCAGGGGTAAGGGCCTGCCAGATAGGGCCCCGTGACTATCACGCGGCCCGTGGCCAACGTGAGGACCGGCAAATGGATATTTTATCTGATTGGAGTGGCAGAATGGTGGGGTAAGTGCACCGCACGATGATCTGACGGCCCGAGTTCGAGTCCCAGCCACGGATAACGTCTGTGGCGGAGGGATATCTGAACAGGTCCAGGGCGACCCTACCCCTTCACCAAGCCCTGCTGACCAGCGTGATGAAGTATGGTCAAAAACCTTCATGGTTGACATGGCGTGGGGAGGCCTTCATCCCAGCGGCGGATTGACGGTTCAAAATTACCGCTATGATATTCGGTGATTTTCAAAGCCTTTCCACAACAACTTGGCAAGGCTGCCACGAATGTCATTAATCATCTCGCTGCCACTGTCAAAGCAGCCCCATCTCAAATAGGTTCAAAGTAATTATTGCCATCAATTTAACCGCAAAGCGATGGACTTCATCGTAGCTTTTTGTTCTTTGTCTTAAAGAGTCTTTTGGAAGCGATGCCTTTCTTGCAATGTATTATCCCCAATCCAATGCTGATGCATTATGCTGCTGCCTGTCCACAAATATCCGGAAATTTCTGTAAATGGTAGACAATTACGTGAAATGGCTCCAGCGGTGTTTATAAATGTCACGTGGAACACCGTTGGAGCAGTTACATCTATATTATATATAAAACAAACTCTTGCACTGCCATCCATGGCTTTTCACAAACACAGGCTTAATTCTAGTGTTGGAACTTGTCGTGCTCTCTGCTACAGCTTATACCACCACAGCAGAGCAGTCTAAGCGTGTACATTATATGTTTTTTTTTCTGTGTTAAGGTATAAAATGTAATAAAGTTTTTAATTAAAGTTGCAGTTTTCATTTTCAGTTTTTTTCTGCCAGGGGAAGGTCTCTAATTGTACAGACTGAAGCCGGCTTCACTCCTGAGTGATCAAAATCGCGCAACTTTAAATCTTGGCCTGCGACCGCTCTGTCGACACCTCAGCGAGTAGTGGCACAGCGAGGATATTAAACGGCGTATTCCAGATCGGGAAACAACCGATCGCAGTTGCAGTTCACAATGTTGGTGAAATTCAACGCCGCAAAACGCCGAGCAGATGGACGCTCCAAGGCAGAGACACCGGATTGCGCAAACCGGTCGCAACTGTTCGCAGAGACGTCCGCATAAGCGATTCAGTTGCGTGCAACCGAGTTGCGTAGAACCGATCGCTCAAGGTGTGGACGACATGGCTTGAGCGCACGGTGTATAAATATACGTCAAGGTCACAAAGGAGTGGAGTTAGAGACTGCACGGTCTCGGAGAGCCTTGAGCTAATTTGCCGCAACGGAAGGAAGCTCGCCAACTTTAACTTTTTTTCACGATCCCGACGCGGGTGAGGAATTCCTCCGACGCAGCCTCTGCTGTCGCCTGCCTCGAAACAGTCCGTCACACTAAAGAGACACCTAACAAGGTTACCGGTGACTCAAACTTGGGTGATGTTTTAAAAAATGTAGACTTTTGCATGGGGGTTATTATATTTTTTTGTACCATTAATTTCGCCGAGACGCCAAGCCGAGGGTGCGAGAGCTCATTTGCGGTGCTATCTCAGGGGTGGTGGCGTGAGGTTGGATGGCGACGCCAATTAGCGGATCGTGGCGCAGCAACGTGGGAGCAAGACCGAGAGGGCACGCGATACCCGGGGACGTGTTTCACGCGGGGATACGCGAGGGGGAAGGCGTTGAAGGCGCCAACGACGTCGCCATGGCGCTGGCTACGGGCCGAGTTGCCAATTTGTTGATATTTTGGTGATATTGTTGGCGATATTGTGGGTTGTATTTAGGCATCGGCTGGCAAGCGACATGCGATTTTAGACCGAGAGAGGAGGATTTCTCCACAATTCTAGGCTGTCGCCTGATGAAGCCGGTTCGTAATTAACGGTGAAATGTCGTACTCGAATTGTACCTGTTGTGGGTTTGCTCTCCAACACACCGGTGTGCTGAACTCATTGGAAACGTTTTGTTTACCTGACAAACGTTCCTGCTTGGCTGCGTCGGGTGGTGGTGGGTTTAACGACACATTCATATCTACACGATCTAACACAAAAACACGTCTATTATGGACAATATTGATCGCGAAAGCCTAAGCGTTAAACTGAGATGAGATTCTTCACCACGAGATGCAAATTGCGAATAAGGAATGAGTGACGCATCGGCTAAGAGAATGGTTTGTGCTTTTGTAATATTAGGTGGAGATTGTTTTCTCTCAATAACGATAATAAGCCCTGTGTGTTTCTCATGCACAGACATTTTTATAAAAGTTGATAATGGATGTAATGCCCGCTTGTTTGACGGCAGTGTGGACTGCACAGTCACAATAACGATACATTCATGTATTTATGGAAAGGATAGGAATATATTTGTGATATTAAAATAAATTGGTTTGAGTGCCCAGTGAAAAGTATAAAGGCAAAAGGCTGTTCAGACTTTTAACACGAATGCTTCAATAGCCATTGTTAGATCTTCAGCAGAGTTATGAAAGTCTACGTAGTACGATGAGAATGCTGTAACTTTAATATTTACTGCCGTATATTTTTCAACGCTCAACGTTCGGCAAAAGCAAGAATCGTATAATACCCTCGTTAGAAACTCATGATCTGGTTTGCATGAAAATGGGAAATATAACTGATTATTGATTAAATATTCACGAAACCCATATTTTACAGCAGGAAGTCCCGTGCACATTTGACACTTATTTTTAAATGATTAAATGTCCTAAATGTAACTGATTAATGGTGTGGGTGTAAACTGAGCACTTTTCAACTAACTTCCACCTCATTTTATGATATTACCTTAATATCGTCAGTACGAGAACGTCGCGAATAATACATCACTTTTTTGGAAGATTTATTGCTTTGAAAAAGAAAATCTATAATAGCAATAAGCTTCTTATAATTCGACAAAAAAAATCTCTGCAATTGAATGATGCCATGAATAGGACGGGGTCTAATACGTGACCTCTGTGTCCTTTGAAGGAAGAAACACCCCCATGTGCTCATTCATTAACCTCTGCTTTACCACAGTAACCTATTTGTCTGAACATCATTGGCATCTTTCTATTGTAATTATTTTTTTTATAAATCACGAATCCAACAGTGCAGCAGCCACATCCGTTTGTTCCATTTTATTCCCCAAATTAGCGAAACGTATTTCTGAGAACAACAACAAAAAAGCACATTGGTAAAATCACAATGGGATTATTGTATTTTGCTACCGCGATGCCACTTTAAGTGAACTTTTTCTTGTTGGTGTTAAACCACATTTCGTCGTGAATTTCACTCCCGGTCGTGACCAAGGTGGACGGGCTCACAAAGGGCCTTCTTTGCCTTTGTTCTCATTTCACTGCTTCACGCTGGGCGCATTCGGGCGGCGATGCCGGGATTTTTTGTCCCAAGGCGGAGCGGAATGCACCGGGAGTCGGTCCGCATGAAGGCCACGCGTCATATCGTCTCCGGGTCCCACTAAATAAGTACAGTGCGGGATCGAATAGCCACGGTCACAGCCACCACCCCCCCCCCCCCCAACTTCTACGAGAGGCTCGATGAATGGGCAGCCTTGTCGCCAACAACTACAAAAAAATCCAGCTTGCCTTTCAGCTTCTCTCCCAACACTTGCCTGCTCCTTTTGATTGCTGCTGCTCCTCCTCCTCTCCCTGTAACTGACTCCAACTGCCTCGCTTTGCCCGAACCCAGCACACAAACAAATTGGGTAATAAAGGCAATTATAATATGAAAGAGAGGGAGGGAAAAAAACACACACACAATCCGTATCTGCTCGTGGTACTCGCTATCGATTTAACTCAGAGCAGTTGTGGTTCATTTTAATTGCGGACGTTTTGTGTTCAGCGGCTGTGTTTACAGAGCGGTTACTTGCGTTACAGTCGAACAGGGCCGAATTAAGTTGACGCTCATGAGACTTGCCATGTCGGAATAATAATAATAATAATCACATTCCGAGCCAAAATGTACTTGCTTTGTATTAATTTACCGAAATGTAAAGTAGTACAGAGATGGGAGTTTTGAACTCGCGAAATGCAATAATGGCCCTCCGGCGCGTTTTTCGGGTTGCTCCACGTGTTGTTCGCCACGATGCCCGACGTTTCGCTCCACGCACCGGGTGGGAGCTTCCTCGGCAGCTGAACTGAGAAAGCTCTCAGCAGTTCCAACGGAGCAGCGCAACTGCAAAACGCGCCGGAGAGCTGCACAGCACGACCACGTACACCACGACACCACGACCCGCTCACCACGACACCACGACTCGCTCACCACGACCCGCTCACCACGACACCACGACTCGTACACCACGACCCGCTCACTACGACACCACAACTCATACACCACGACTCGTACACCACGACACCACGACTCGCTCACCACGACACCACGACCCGCTCACCACGACTCGTACACCACGACACCACGACTCGTACACCACGACACCACGACTCGTACACCACGACACCACGACCCGCTCACCACGACACCACGACTCGTACACCACGACACCACGACTCGTACACCACGACACCACGACTCGTACACCACGACACCACGACCCGCTCACCACGACACCACGACTCGCTCACCACGACACCACGACTCGTACACCACGACACCACGACTCGTACACCACGACACCACGACTCGTACACCACGACACCACGACTCGTACACCACGACCCGCTCACCACGACCCGCTCACCACGACACCACGACTCGTACACCACGACACCACGACCCGCTCACCACGACACCACGACTCGTACACCACGACACCACGACTCGTACACCACGACACCACGACTCGTACACCACGACACCACGACTCGAACACCACGACACCACGACTCGCTCACCACGACACCACGACTCGTACACCACGACACCACGACTCGTACACTACGACACCACGACTCGTACACCACGACACCACGACCCGCTCACCACGACGCGAGAGTGTCACGCAGCGCACCTTCCCAGGAGGAAGCGCAACTTCAGCACCGCGTGGTGGAATACATCGCCACTTACCATTGGCGCGCGGGCTACTTGAACAAGGGTTTGGCTGTCACCGTTTATTGACACCAACGTGACCCCATTAATATAGAAAGGCGCGCGCCGCTGTTATGTAGAGATTTCAGCTTGATAGCCTGGTCAATATTGGCATTTCAAAGCATGGTGATGTTGGCAGACCTTCAAAAAAATATTGTGTTCACACAAGCAACCTATTTTTTGGGTAAATGTTTCAAAACAGTTTTGACATATACTTCCACAACATATTTTGCTAGTGTTGGGCGGTAATTGTCGAGGGTTTTTTTTTCCAGCAAGAAAAAAAAGACTCAGTGCTTCCACGAGTCGCTCATTGCAGTTTCTATTTTAGCTTGTGGAGAAGCATGTGGCCACTGGATAAACGATCGAGGTCTCTCCTTCCTCGTTCTTAAACTGTCTGACCCCATAATCACATTTTATGACACGCCATCTTCACTCCCTGACTGCGAAACAAACCAAAACAAGATGGAAGGATCAATCTGCGAACAAGCAAGTCAAGGCAATGCGTTGACCCACCGCACACACACCAAAAAAAGTATAAGCCCACACATAGCTCCAATGATAGCCCTAAACCTGTGGTGGAAACTTCATATTCCCGAGGAACGAGTCCAGTCTCTCCATGGGAGGACTGGTTGTTGACTTCCCACAAAGAGGTGGTTAGAGATTGTATATCCCCTGGGGATAGCGTACACAGACAAATCTGAATAAACACAGAAGCCTTCCGATTGCGAATTGGCTGATAATTACAGGGACTTGCGGGGTGTAAT